CAAGCTCTGCTACAGTCACTGAGCCACAGGCACCAGACTAAACTGAGGAAGCAAAGAACACAGGCAATGAACTATCTAGGCTTCCCCTGAGCATCAGAGCTCTGAACCCAGCCTACAAACCACCACAGCCTCCACCCCAGTCACTGACGCTAGAGCTCTTAACGCGCCCTTGCCCTCAGACGACAGACTATTTAGACCAGTGCTATCCAACAGGACTGTCTAAGATAATGGAAATGTTCTCTGCACTGTCCAGTACAGTAGCCACTATCTACATGTGGTTATTGAACTCTTGAAATGTGGCTAGTGCAACTGAAGAACTGAATTTTTAATTTTAATTATAATGATTTAAATGTAAATAGCCTCAAGTGGTCAGTGCTACTGTATTGGACAGTCCAGTCTTAGATTATCTTTAAAATCTCGCAGCAGACTACATCCATTTCACTTCATATTCCCGCTATTTTGGTCATGGTACAAAACATCAAATCCCTTGGTGATCTAACCACATTAATCTCTTCACCATATAGCTCTGTTACTCCTCTACCTTAACTAAATTTTTCTCACACTTTCCTTCCTTCAAAAGGCTTTCCATTGTGCTCTCAAAAATCTTCTTCCAAGAAAAATTAATATTTCACATGCTCAGCCTTTTTATTGAATCATCCATTCCATCTCCTTGCCTTAGTTGCAGTTTGGCTCCTTTACTAATTCCTTTGAAACTCTTTCAAATGGGAGATGTTCCTTCTTTCACATCCCATATACCTCAGGGTCAAGAGAAGGTGTTGATATACCCCAATCTGCAACTTTCAGGCTATCATTCCTCCACCATCTTGAAAACACTCCAACTACTTTGAATCTCACATAATATCCAGCTATCCCTGCCTACTCACAGTAGCAACGAACTACCAACTTTCCAGTCACTCCCTCACAAAATTCATTGAGAATTTTTGGCAACACGGCTCATAGGCTTCCATCAAAAGCCCCCTAAGCAATTTCCACATCTATGTAACTTTCATTCTGGTCTCACTTTTTCTTTTTACTTGCTTCTTGAATTTGTTATAGCCTCCCACTCCATGCCCACACGAGAACCTTGTCCAAGCAGAAACATTCTCTCAATTATTCCTAGGATACCTGCCCTTTGCCTCACAGGACCCCTTAATCCCTTGACTCCTCTTCTCCCTAACCTCTCTCTACCACTCCAATCTTGACTTCCTTGCTTACTCAGCTAAGATTTCAAAATCATCACTTCAATCACTTTCTTATCAATATCTCCAACTGCCCTATCCTTCTATTCTATAGCAGCTACCTGGCTAAACACTAACACAGAATTGATCTGACTTCCTAATTCACTTAATAAGTATTTATTGAGAGTGGTTGGCATTTTCGTAGGAGCTGGATATACAGTAGGGAATAAAAAAATAAATCATCAAAGTTCACAGAGTTAACATAAAAGTTAACAGTAAAAGAATCAGGATTTGAACTCAAATTGTCTGATGTCAGATCCTTGTAATCTCCAGCTCATTCCCCACTATATTTCAAGCTTTATCTGACTTCCTTAAAATTTGACCACATCTCCCACTCTTATTTTTAGCAGATGACCTTCTCTCCACCCTCTCAACTTCTAGGCACTAAACCTACACACATAAAGCTTCTGTATACATCCATCCTTCCTCCCTTCCTATTACAAAGGAAGAAGATCCCTCCTCTTTTTAAAGGTTAATCCATTTATATCACATTCCTTCCCACATTCTCAGGAATCTCAATGTATTCAGTTCCTTAACAATACATTCATATTTTCACTCTTGGCTTTCTCAAAAGCTACTTCTTCTACCACACCCTTCCGTCACTATTCCTCAAATTCCCATGTGCCTCACTCCACCTCTAGTGGGTTACTACTAATCCTTCTGCATATCTCTCTAGACTGTAAGCTCCATGAGGCCATTGAATGTTTTTATTTTGTTCAAAACTGGATGCTTAATCTTTAGCAGAATTTAAGGTACATAACAGGCATGTAAAACATATACTGAACAAATAATTACGAACACAATATCATTCTTGTGATTTTTCCCATTACAACAACAAAAATTATATTCCCATAATAAAAGAAAATTTGAAAATAATAATTCAAAACAATAAAATTAACAATTATACCCTAGGGAATACAAAAGGACATACCTCCAGTTCATTTTCCAGTTTCATTACTTTAGTTTTTAATTGATTTTCTATTTAAAAAAAAGATAAATGTTTCAATTGGTCAAATTTACCTCAAAATAAACTTCTAAATAAATTTCAATAAAATAATAAAATAAATTCTTTTCAAAGATTCCATCATGATTGTAAAAATAAGGTAACATAAGAGAAAATAACCGTCTTATACCTGATCCATGAAATAGAAATTCTAGAATATATTTCAAAATAAATTGACTATACAAATTTTATAGAATATATTAAAGCTAATTCTCTACTGCTTAGTGAATAAATGGAATCCACTATTTACCACCATAATAAACTTTCTAAGGCACTTACCAAATTTTGCTTGTTCTTCTCCAGCTTTTTCAACTTCTTCCAAAGCTAGCTCTACTTCTTGAGCCTTCATCTAAACATTAAAAAAAAAAAAAGCGATTTCAATATGCCTTTACACTAGAATGTAAGCACTGAAAACAAGGATTTTATTTGCTATCCCAATACTTAGTGCTTAAAATCCCCGGCACATAGAGATATTCAGTAAATATCTGTTGAAATGAATAGATGATTTTCTTACTTAAGGATATAATTTTTAGATTCCTAACAGTTTGAAACATCTTTGAGTCTTCTTTTTCCCTCAAGTCTTATATCCAGTATTGCAACTTTTCCCTTTGTAATGTTTTCCACTATGTCTATTTTTCTATTCTAATTGTCATTATTCTAGTCCATAATTTTATGTCTAACCTCCTTCATAATGTTTTGTCTAAAGAGCTTCAATTTCCTTCAATTTGTCCTATTTAGCCTAGTTTACCTTCCCTAGTTTAGTTTGCCTTACCTAGTTTAGCCTTCCCAAAGCATAGTTTTCTATCTATCAACTGTGGCTCAAAAACCTTTCATGGCTCCTCATTGCTCACAGCATAAAATACACCTTTAAGGCCTTTGACAGCCTATTCCAAATTATTCCCAACATCTGTTTCCTCTTGAACCTGCTATAAACTTTGTGCACTTGTCTCCTCAAATGTAAAGAATATGCACATTGTCTATTCCCAATTTGTATTTACAGTACCCTCCAGCTCTATAATCTTCTTAACATTTTACCAGTGCTTTCCACTGACCTAAAACTACTCATCAGCCTTTGACCTTTATGAACAAGTCTTCTCACACCTAACTCTCCTCCCCGCCTAGCCAATCCCTACAGTAATCGTCTGCATTTTTCACTTCTACCTCAGGAGTATATTAACAGAATTAACATAGGACCTCCCTATGTTATTTTTAAACCTACTCATCTGTTTCCCTCACATTCTTTTAGGAACTTTCTAGCAGAAACTAGCAATGTTCTGAATACTAAAATTCTAAATCCACACTTGAAAATATCTCATTTTTTAGTGGTAACTTAGATATCACAAAGTACTTTCACAGAGATTAACTGATTTAAGAACAGATTCTTAAATCTTCTCTAACAGTCAAAGCTTTTAAAACCTACTGCATACAAACCTTCATTAGTGACTGAGTAATTCTGAAAAGGTGTATCATATTTTCTTGACTTTCACTTTTTAGCTCATTTACTTCCACCTAAGTAAACAGAAAAACAACTATTATATATTTTATAACCCTTAAGCAATAAGAACTCTTCCAATTGTACCATTCAGTGATTAAAGGGACAACTTAGATTAATCATAGTTGTATGTATATATTTATGCATTATTTATCAATTAAGCACCTTGGATAAGGAAATCAATAAATTATCTGCCAATTCTTCTTGACGAGGCAGGTCATCTGGATCGACTTTTATTATTTCTTTCCAGTTTATATTAGGTGGCATCTTGAATTCTTTCACCGTGCTTTACCTTCGATAACAAAACAGGTGGGTATTAGCATTTTCAAGGTAAACAGCATTACTGTTTTCACAGTAATTTAGTTCTACAGATTACATTATTATAACTCCCTATGGTGTTAGCAAAGAGCTATGGTTCCTTAACTGTATAACAGATAAGCGGGTAAAATAGCCTTGATCAAAATTATACCAGTTGGCACAAACCATCAGATATTGTATCGGCTTAACAAACTATGACGGCTTCCTTGCTAAAACTAATCTAGCTCGGCACTAAGATTCTGAGTCCCCTCCTTCATGCCCCCTTACCACCAAGGCGCGCGAACATCTAATGGTGCGAAGTGCGGAGGTGCTCGGATGGCCGAAATTGACCCCTGATCGGAGAAGCAGAAACTGGGGGTAAAAAAGTGAGGAAATAAACGACAAATTGAGCGCAGTTGGGCCGGGGAAATCAGGGCTGAAGCGAGAAGGCAGATGGATTGCTGACCAAAGGCTAAGGGGCGGAAAGCTGGGCTCTTGCAGATGGGCCCTGACGCTTACAGAACCTGCGTGGGAAGAGAGCCGCAGCTCCTGCTCACTAGGATCCGCCCACCTAGACCAACCCTGGCAACCAGAGGCGGCCCTTTATCTACCGCACCCACCAAGCCGGGCCCCGCCGCCACGCCTGACCGCTCCCCAGCGCGGTTCCAATCCGACACTGGATCCCGCCAACTGGTCCGGAGCAAGTAAAGCGGTAGCGGCTGCTAGGCGACCCTATTCCCCACCCTGTCAGGGCCAGAACAAAGCCCCGGATGCGAGGGGAGCCTACATTTCACGACTATGGGTAATGCTTTACGTTAGATTCCCCAGCTGGGTCCCCGGACTCTGCGAGAAGGACAAGGAGAAGGCTCGGCGATGAGGACTCCAGATCCCAGAGTGCAGTTCTGCTTGGAAGCTTGTGCCTCCTGGGAACTGAAGTCTCTGAGAAGTGGAGGTAGGCCGTTCCCGGCGTGCAATGCGAGAGGCTGCCGCTGTACCGGGGCAGCGGGGGAACGACCCGGCGGCGGAGGCGCGGTGGCCGAGGCGCGTCTGCGCTGGATCCCTGCACGAGGTCGAGCATGACTGTGCCTTCGGTGGCGTCGTTCGCTGGGCTGCTCTTTCTGAGGTTTTCCTAAGCCATCCCCTGGTGGAACCGCTCCCAGGTGAGGTTGAGCTGTCGGTCAGCGGCGGGGGAGGAGAAGAGGGGAGCGTCCTGGTTTAGAGACGCTCCCACCATTGGGGCGGAAGGGCCGGGGCCGAGTGTGCAGAGGTGGGAAAACCGGGCTTTCTCCCAAGGTGTTTGCAAGCGACACCCCAGGTGGTGTTCTCTGTGAGAAGAAGACAAAAAAGTTTTACCCTTCTTTGGGATCAGAATGTGTCTCTGTACAGTGGAATGGGGGCTGCGCGGCCGAGATCATGGCTTGGGGACGAGTGAAGAATTGAGAAGAGGCCACCGCATCCTCCGACCCCGCCCGCCTGCCCTGTAGCACCATCAGTTTCGCGGGTGGAAGGGCTTGAAGGTTGAGTTGAGGAGCTAGTATATAGAGAGTGAAGGCTCTAGAGAGGAGAGGTTAGAACTTGCCCGGGCCACTGCTGGGGGTGGAGAGAGAAGGGGCTGGTGAGTACTGAAGAAGTACTCATTAGTCTTGTGGCTGTCGCTTTCTTGGTTCGCGAGGGTGCCCTTCTATGAAATCGCCTTCTCAGGTGTTTACAGCCCTTATTTGTGCAAGTTTTGCTCATCCCACTGCTCTCAGCCATTCTGGAGTCTGATAGACCACTAGGTAACTCAAGAAGCTCTAGACTTGAAATCTAAATGACATTTTCGACTGTTTGGACCACTGCCTCCCATCTTTATCCTTTTTTTTAAGGCAATTTTTTAATAATATAATTGATGATAAGTTTTCCTTTTGGAAATAAATAATAGATTTCTTTCCAAACCACGTGTTTGAATAACAGCTCAGTAGAAGATTGTATAAATACTGATTTTGTGAGATACACTTAAAGGCATTCTTCAGATTTGTAGGGATAATTTTGTCTAATCCTTTACTGAAAGATGATATACCAAATACTGTTCATTATCTTTCTTTCTTTTTATTTTTTCTATGCTGTACATTATATCCCCAGAACTTACTGCTCTTATAACTGGAAGTTTGTCTTTTGACCAATATGTTCTTTGTTGCTATAAGTTTGTTTTTTTTAAGATTCCACGTATAAGTGAGATCACGCAGTATTTGTCTGTCTGACTTATTTCTCTTAGCATAATGCTCTCAAGCTCCATCCATGTTGTTGCAAATGGCGAGATTTCCTTTTTATGGCTGAGTAATATTCCATTATGTGTATGTACCACATTTTCTTTATCCATTTATCCTCTGATGAACACTTAGGTTGTTTCCATGGCTTGGCTACTGTAAATAATGTTGCAATGAATATGGTGGTGCAGATATCTCTTCAAGATAGTAATTTTGTTTTCTTCGACTGTATAGCCAGAAGTGGAGTTGCTGAATAACATGGTAGTTCTGTTTTTAATTTTTTGAGAAACCCCATACTGCTTTCTGCAGTGTCTCTACCAATTTACATTCCCACCAACAATGCACAAGGGTTCCCTTTTCTCCACATGCTAGTCAACACTTATCATCTCTTGTCTTTTTGATTATCACCATTCTAACAGGTGTGAGGTGATATCTCATGGTTTTGATTTGCATTTCTCTGATGATTAGTAATATTGAGCACCTTTTCATCTGTCTGTTGGTCATTTGCATGGCTTCTTTGAGGAAGTTCCTCTGCTTGCTTTTTAATCAGACTGTTGGTTTTTTTGCAATTGAATTGTATGAATTCTTTATATATTTTGGATATTAACCCCTTATCAGGTATATATTTGCAAATATTTTTTTCCATTCCATAGGTTGCTTTTTCATTTTGTTGATGGTTTCCTTTGCTGTTCAGAGGCTTATTAGTTTGACATAGTCCCACTTGTTTATTTTTGCTTTTGTTTCAAATCCAAAAAATCGTTGCCAAAACTTATGTCAAGGAGCTTACTCCCTATGTTTTCTTCTAGGAGTTTTGTGGTTTCAAGTCTTACATTCCAGTCTTTAATCTATTTTGGAGTAGTGCAATATAGGGGTCCAATTTCATTCTTTTGCATGTGGCTTTCCAGTTTTCCCAACACGGTTTATTAAAGAGACTATCCTTTCCATGTTGTATATTCTTGGTTCTTTTGTTTCTGGGTGCTTTCTTCTGTTCCATTGTTCTATGTGTTTGTTTATATTCCAGTACCATACTGTTTTGATTACTATAGCCTTGTCATTATCTCATTTAGTCTTCAATAACAATCCAATGAAATAGGTGCTTATATTGTCCTCATTTTCCAATGAAGTTAAGAAACTGACGCTTAGAGAGGTTGAATACCCTGCTCAAACTTAAACAGTGCGTTTGAACACAGATCTTCCTGGCTGGAGGACATGTTCTTAACTGCTATGCTAAACTGCCTCCTCAGGCATTCAGGGAACCAATATTTGTAAAGTGCTTGTTCTTCAGTCTTGCCATCTATATTAAATATTATCATACTCTAATTATATAAATTTGTTTACTCAAGAATTTGAATTAAATATTCTTCATGTTCAGAATTTTTTTTTTTAGGAAGATTAACCCTGAGCTAACATCTGCTGCCAATCCTCCTCTTTTTTTTGCTGAGGAAGACTGGCCCTGAGCTAACATCTGTGCCCATCTTCCTCTGCTTTATAAGTGGGATGCCTCCCACAGCATGGCTCAGCAAGTAGTGCATAGGTCTGCACCCGGGATCCGAACATGCGAAGTTAACCTCTGTACCACTGGGCTGGCCTCTCATGTTCAGTATTTTTAATTCATAATTTAGCAGGGGAAAGTAGGGATGAAATCTAATGTTTCTTGAGTTATTATGTCGTATACTATGCTTAAAACTACATATTATTTTCATAGTAGGAATCTGTTATTTTTACCGCACCACCTTGTTTTTTTTCTTGTTGTTTCGTTCATTATAACTATTATTTTCTTTTTACTCATTTACTAGTTTTGTTTTGTCTGTATTGGTCTTTTCTACCCTTTCTTTCCCTCACCCTCTTGTTCACATTTACTTTCCCAGCAACTCAAGGTACCTGGCCTAATGGTAAGTCTTATTCTCATTTTTCAAAAGTGAGAATAGGTTCAGAGAAGCTAAGTAATTTCCTAATAGTTAATAAAGCTAAGATTGTAACCCAGATCTCAATTGCAGTCCTGATTAAATGCAAAAATCTTGCTTAAAGTTCATTATTTTGCTCATTCTAACAATAGTTTTGAGCTTGTACACTGTGCTAGACTGTGAATCAAGAAATTCAACTCAAATTCTAGTTCATTCATTCACTGTATAAATTTTGAGGAAAATTGCTAAAACTCACCATTGTTTTTCACCAAATTTTCTACATCAGTCAGTTTTCACCAAGGGAAGGAATTTATGTGATGATTTTGTAAATGGCCTTGTTACAGGAATGCTTGCCTAGACCTGCCTTCTTTCTTCTGTTTGATTATATGAGCAGCTTTATCTGACCAAAATCACGTCACAAGAAAGACTTGCCTTTTATAATTGCTACCTCCGTTCTCTGTACCAATCAGCCTTTGTTTCTTAGATGTTACTTCCATTCCCTTTTTGTTGCCTTATCAGGAAAATGAATGTTAGCTTACTTTTCCAGCGTCTAAAATAACGCATGGCCATGAGAAATTTAGTATCCACTAAGTATAGTAAATGTTTTGTTTTGCCTGTTCTCATGGAGAGGAATCAGTGTGCAGCAAGTAGACTCTTGTCTTTTCTCAACGTGAGGAGACTGGAAAGATTAGTAGGAGTCAGTGTGAATGCACACTTCTCGGGCCAAAGTTTTACTAACTTTAAAATATTAATGAAATACAGTAGATTATTCTTATTGAGGAAGATATAATCATGACATTATTTAACTGAGAGGACTTTTCTTTCCAGGCTAGATATTTCCAAGTTCATGTAAAATTTTCCTATTTTATTTGGTTTATTTTTTCCCACAGTTCTTCTGTTGGATTATTGGAAAAAGTGAGCAGTCAGTACAGTTTTCATAAAGGAAGTATACTGTTTTGTATGTCTGTAATGTAGCTCATGAGTGGTCTTCTCTTGTGGTTGAAACTGCACATATATGTGCATCTGTGTGAATATGCTTGTGTGCCTAGGAAGAAAACGAGAAGTTTCCTATCTTAGTCTGTTGGTACTGCAATAACATACCCTAGATTAAGTGGTTTTTAACAACAAGAATTTATTTCTTACAGTTCTGGAGTCTGGGAATTCCAAGATCAAGGCATCAGCAGATTCAGTGTTGGGTGAAGACTCACATTCTGATTCATAGAGGGCGTCTTTTCCCTATGTCCTCACATGGCAAAGGGGGCAATGGATCCCTGTCAGGCCTCTTTTATAAGAATGCCAACACCATTAATGACAGCCCCACCCTCATGATGTAATCACCTTCCGAAGGTCCCACCTCCAAATACCCTCCTGTCGGGCATTAGAATTTATCATGAGTTTTGAGGGAACACAAACATCCAGTCTATAGCATTCCCACAACTAGTGATGTGTTACATTCTTACAGTGAATCATGCCTCCCTCTGTCTATGTCCTTATGCAACCCTCTTCCTTTCCCCTAACCTTAAAGAGCTTGTGCTTGGCCGGCCTGGTAGTGCAGGGGTTAAGCTTGCACGCTCCACTTTGGTGGCCTGGGGTTCGCAGGTTTGGATCCCCAGTGCAAACCTAGCACCGCTTGTCAAGCCATGCTATGGCAGCATCCCACATAAGATAGAGGAAGATGGGCGCAGATGTTAGCTGAGGGGCAATCTTCCTCAAGCAGAAAGAGGAAGACTGGCAACAGATGTTAGCTCAGGGACAATCTTCCTCACAAAAAAAAGATCTTGCACTTTGGGACTTGCCCTCCTGCTCTCCTGACATCACCATTTAAAGAAGTTCGGGCTAACCTACTAGAGCGTGTGACCACAAGTAGCAGAGTCTAGCCTTCCAAGCTGAGACTCCTACCTTTCAGATATCCAGCCTTAACAAGAAGATAATTGTATGCACAGGAGTGACTTCAGGCACAACCAACAGAAGAAATATATACATATATATTATGTGTATATATATATATAT